CCCCGGAGGCGGGCTGGGAGCAGTGGGAGCAGTACCTGGTACCCCGGGGGCGGGCTGGGAGCGGTACCTGGCGTGCCGGAGGCGGGCTGGGCGCTGCAGTCCGGCGGCAGCCGCTCGCTTTGCAGCGCCATCCAGCAGCGGCGGTCGAAGCCTCCCGGGAGCCCCGCGCCCGAAGGGGGCTCGGGCCGAGCCCGCCGGGCGGGGGGAGCCCGGTCCCGCCCCGCCGGGGCACGGTGTCTCGGGGCCGCCGCCGCGGCCCTCGCCGGGTCCGAGCTCCCCGCGCCGCCGGAGCGACCCCCGCTGCGGACCTGGGGCCCCCCGCGGCCCAGCCCGGCCTGTGGCGGCACCTGGCGCCGCTCCATGGCTGGGGCTGGGGTCCCACGGCCTTCGAGGCAGAAAGAGGAAAGCAGGGACTGTAACGATGGCACTTTCCGTTTGGTCTTTGCTCCACCTCCGGCCGTTGTCCAATGCCAAACTGTGGGAATAAGTGACAGGACACGATGCGGTTTGGGCACACACCGGTCCTTTCCTTCTTCCTGCCCATCCTGTCCGAAATTAAACGCAGAAGCCCAAACTGCTCTGCAGCATGGGGCTATAGGCAAAAGGAGCAGAAACTCTGAATTCAATTTTGGGGAAAAGGCACCAGGACGTGAAACTTCAGTCTAGCAAACGGGACTTCAGCACTTCCAGGGATCAGAAACTGTTTGTTGTAATGTACTTTGTTTTACCTATAAAGATACTACGTAAAAGGATAATTGAGGGAAAATGCTGTTTGACGCTATTTCTCCTGAAATGTAAGGCGTTGCTTTCACTTCTGTTGATCGCTTCTGGCTGTCTCTCTTAAAGAAAGGGAAATAATACCAAAATGTTGCAAGAGTGCTTTCAAAATAATCTTTAGCTGCTTTCCCATCTTTTTTATTTTCCTCTTTTTTTCCAGATGATTATCATCCTTCCATTTTTGGCAGTGCAATCTGTTTCTATAGCAACAGGGACAGAGGCAACAGTCAAAACAGGAGAGTGATGCTTCCAGATTTGTGTGGTTAAACCTGTAGGCTCTACATCACGTTTTGCAACAGTCTCAACTGACTTTAAGTACCAAAAAATGCCTAAAATTCATCCTGATTAATTTTACGTATATGATACAGCCTAAGAAACCTACAGGAAAATAAACTTTTTCTTTTAAACCATCAACAAATTACTTCATTTAACAGGCAGAGTGAAGAACAGTTTGTGAAAGCAACATTGCCCTTCAGCAAAAATAACTAACGTTAGGCTGCGCAGCTGCTTGTAATGCTGAAGGGTTTGAGATTCACCAGTACACCTTGGTTTATCCAATGCTTACATACATTTATTAGAACCATTTTTTCCAATTTCATTTGCTTGATACCTGAGGCAGATGTGTGGTTTGAGATACAAAGTGCAGAGGAATTTTTAGCAAGTTTTTTTCCAGAGCAACTGTAGCCAGGAAGCCTTGTTCTTAAGTGGCACTTGGACTGGGCTATACAAAATAGATGAGAATTGTTGCTTCTGTGTTTATAACCAATACACATACCAGTTATTCAGAGGCAGAAGAGTTCTGTAGGCACTAATGCAGTGTGCAAAATGTGACCCGAAGCTCAAGAACTAATTAATAGCAGCAATTTGAAGAGAGTTGTGCCTGACTGGATACAAAAGTTTGTGTTGGTGGTTAGGCTGGAAAGATGGGATTCCTTGGGTGCAGCTTGAAACCTCTAAATTGTTGAGGTAATGTAGGGGAGGAAAGATCTTAAAAAAAAAAAAAGCCCAAACCTCTTGGGCAATCCAAGACTATTTAGTCTTAAACTAATTCTGGATATGTGTGTTTTCAGAAGAGTCTTTATAATTGCATAAAAAATTACTGTGGATTTTGGGCATCTGTGCAGAGGCATATTATTCCCTAACAATGCATAGTTAGAAGTGTAGGGATTTTCTTTGTTTGTTCACTAATTTTCTTGGCTAGCTGTTCAGGGGAAAAAAACCCCACAGCATTTTGTAATTACACAGGTGTATTTCTTTCCATATGAAAGGAGAGGTAAAATCTGTCACTTACTGAAATAATTCTGCTGAATTGATACATTGCCTATTTACCTGAATTCTGCACCTTTAAAAGTGATACTGTATACGCTCATGTTCCACTACTTAAGTAATTTATATTTTCTTTTGCAAAGGTGAAACAAGAGGTAGTTGTCATCATGTTTCTGCATTCATTTCAGAACTATATGTACCCTAAAGGGTGGAAGCCTGTTAGGCTTCTTTTCCTCTAATTCTGTTTATAAAAACCATGCAATTAATAATATTTTTTTAATACATGACTTTTTTTTTTATGTAATGTTAACTTCCACAAGAAACATGTAGGCATCTGACAGATAAGAAAATACTGTAGTGCTAAGGAAACAGAATTGTGTGCCTTTGGACACTGGGTTAGTATGCTCTGGTCTTCAGTCTTTTAATTGTGAAGCATGATTAGTACTAATTGAATCTTCTGTCAAATTGGATTTTACAGCATGGAAAGGACAGGCAGTTGCTTTCAAACATAATCTGTGCAAAGGCTGTCCGTGCAAAATGAAGTTATGCAACTGTTTTTGGAAACTCAAAGCAGTCACTGATGGTGACTGTGGTTTCCCTGTGCAGAGGCATTAAGCCCTTCCACCCTTGCCTTTCCCAGCTGCCATGGGCACCGAGTACTACAGCTCTGTGAGGGGAAGGCAAGTTGTACCATGAAATGCCACTGCACCATGGTCAAAACAGATTCCAAGCACTTCTTTTTGATGGAAATGGTCTTTGAGTATGGCTGTGGCAGGTTCTGGTTTCCAGCACAGACAAGTCTATGGGTGGAAAGCCTGTTTGCGACCTCGGCTCATGTGGTGGTCTGACCCTCTCTAGGACATTTTGAACTCAAGTCAGTGACAATCAAATCTGTGCTTCTTGCAAATGTGTTTTGAGCAGAGATGTAACAGGTACCTGTGTCCACCTCCACCATCATCAGTTCTAGTCCTGCTGAGACTGGTGATGAACTTGCTGTGTGTACGCTGAAAGGGAGCCTGGGGTTTCATAGGACGTGGCAGGTCTGGTCAGCCTCCCCGGCCTAGTGGCAGAGCTTGCGTAGGGGATTTCTCTATCCTGACTTGAACTTTTTTCGGGGGAAATTCTAAATTAATCCTCTACTGCTTTCTTTCCTGGATCCAAGTGTGCCTTGGTTTTGCCTTCCCAATCCAGCAGTACCTCAAGGTACGATGGCAGAACCGCACAGTAGGCTGTGCTTAGCAACAGCAAAACCACGCAAACCAGTACGACGCGTACACGGTTCGGTGGGCTCCCGGCTGCCAGCGGCAGGAGGGGTTTCCGGAGACCCCCGCTCCTGGCCAGTGCCGCAGCCGGTGTCAGGCTCCCCGGGAGTGGCAGCGGCGGGATGGCGGACACCGGTGGGATGGCGGGATGGCGGGCAGGACGGCGCTCCCGCGGCTGCGAGTGTGTGCGGGACGTGCCGAGCCGCCCCGCGCCACATGGCCGCCCCCGCCGCTGCCCGCACAGCCACCGGCAGCGCGCCCCGGCCCCGCAGCGCCCCCGGGGCGGCCAATGGCGGCCGGGCGGGCGCTGCCGCTGCCTACGTGACGCGGCCGCGGGGGGAGGGGGCTGCGGCCGAAGCTGCCGGCGCGCGCGGCTGGTGAGGAGGGTGGGCGGCCACAGCCCCGGAGCCCCGAAAGCCGCGGAGCCGCCACAGTCCCGCCAGCCCGGCGCGCTCAGCAAAGGGAGGCGATGTTGATGCTGGACTGCAGTTTAGAGGTGAGGTTTGGGGAAGGTGGGTCTGTTGTTTTGTCTTACCGGGAGCCCAGACACGGAACTGGGTGAAGTGTACTTTGCCTGAAGCTGCTCGGAATGTTGGAGCGCTGCCGCCGTCGATCGGTATTTCTGGTTATGAGATTAAAAGCCAAAAAAGTCATGCTTGGAGCTGTTTATTTTTTTTTAAAGGGAAGTTTCAAGGAACATGAAGGTCCGACGATTTGCGAGGGCGATGTTTCCTGCCATCATGCAGTGTGCTTAGATCTTCTGTGGCTTAAACTGGCAGTAACATTCTTTCTTTTCTTTTCCTTTTTTTCTTTGTCTTTTGATTTATTGTTTATTTCAGTCTGGTAGTTTCAGCAATCTGTTTGAGGCAGGAACCGGTGTGAACGCACCTGCAGATGCCTTTGGTCAGTCTCCAGCTCACTTGGCTGCTTGTGGTGGTGAAGCTTTTTTCCTACTTTGGCAATTGCAGACAGGAGCAAATTTGAACCAACAGGTAAAAATACATAAGTTTCACTCCTTCCACTTCTAATCTGGTATGTTAGTAATTGCAGTTAATATTATTTACATACTTTTTATCTAAGAGAAGTTTTATAAACAGTTGTATTGCATGAGGTACCTGGGGTCACTTATTTTAGAGTAAGCTCTGGCATGAACCAGAAATCCTGTCTATATTGTTTTAGCAATTTCATTTGCTATAATAATGCAATTTTCACACAGTGCTGCATGCAGATTTCCAGAGAACTTAATTCTTTTACACAAATGATTATTTATTTTTCCTCCAAAATTTTGTCCTTTGTACTTCCAGTACACATAAGGATTCTAGCTGCAAAGTTTAATTTACTTATACCTCCAAGCTGGTAGCAAGCTGTTGGTCACAGCAATCCCTGAATGATGCTTGAAGATGCTGTTAATCAGTGTACAGAGTGTATTCTGTGTAAGTTATCTTTTAGAAGGCAAAGGTTAAAAAATGAGTATTGCAGGGGACAGTGTTTTTACTTTGTGGTGAACGAATACACTAAACATTTAATGGCAGTTACCAAGTACACTCTCTCTCAACTCTCAACAGGCTGATATACACAGTCATTTTGAGGAACAAGATAGCTTTATCCCATTCCCCTTCTTCAAATGACTGCTATATGTAAATTGTGTTTTTAGGATTGCCTTGGAGAAGCCCCAATTCATAAAGCAGCAAAAGCTGGAAGTTTGGAATGTCTCGCTCTCCTTGTTGCTGGCGATGCCAAAATTGAGTAAGTTGAGTTACATTTATTAATTTCAGTAACACCATCAAGGGATGTGTATTTTACACAGTACTTCTACTTGTTTAGAACGTGCATGCTAAGGCTGCAAATATAGCATGACTGCAGCATAAGAGTATTAAAAACTGACAGAAGCACCAAAATAGCATGGACCATATGCTGTTATTTTTTTACATGTTAAATACCTCTGTAATAACTGCTGAGAGAATATTCCTGATCATAATCTCTCCTTGTTAGTTTTCCATTCCAATGCTGTGCTCATCTTCTTCTTGCCTTTCTGATATGATAAACCAATCCTAGTCTGATGACAAATTTATTTTAAAATAATTATTGTTGTATTTAATGCCAGCCCTCTGTATGAGCCCCATGCTATCCTTGACAAACCTTCTT